GTCCGGCTCCTGCTGCTTCCTGCGCCGCTCGCCCATGAGGCTGCTCAAGCTCCGCAGCGTGTACTCCACATTCTCACTCGCCTTGCGGGACATAAGGCAGGGGCCCGGGGCTTCCCGGGGGAACTAGGCTCCGCGGGCCGGCGATCTCGGCGGGCTGCGCAGCCCAAGCCGGCAGGGGCAGCAGCCGCCGCCGCCGCCTTCCTCCTTTCTGCTCCGGCTGCCACGGCAGCAGCCGCCGCCGCGGCCACTCCGGGGAGAAAGTTGCTGCCAGCCGAGCTCGGGCGCTGCCGAGTTGGAAGCTGGCCGGTCTCACTCGAGACTCACGCCCCGCGCCTGCCTAGCTGGCGCTGCGGAGCGGCCGGGAGGCGGGGCCGTAGGTCACATGCAGCCTGGGACTAGAGGGGCGGGGATGTGGGGCGGAGCCGAAGTGAGGCCGCTGATACGCTCCGCCCATGGGGCGGGGCCCGGTCCTGACTCTCATGGTCCCAAATCCCTAATTCCCATCTTCCTGTCAGATGCAACCTCTGACCTAGGTTCCCTTCATTTAATGGTCTGAGCTCCACTGTGGAGCTGACTGCAGGGCTTCGTATTGGGGAGCAGGCCTACGTGGGAATGCTAGGTAACAGAATTTCTGACCTGGGAATTGCATAGTTTGGGGGGGGGGCGGGGTGGAGAACTCCTCAACAAGCCTGACACACCTTCTAACAGTTTAGACAAGGCAAGTGGCCAGGACTGGAAAAGGGCCTGGGAAAACCATTCTGTTATACCCCATAGCAGTACCCTTCCTTTTACAGTATTGTGACATTGCCTGGCATAATCTTGTTCCCTGGCGCTAAATTAATTTTGTTCTGGGGCAATTTAGGTGGTGTACTCCCATTTCTATAACCAATTTTTTCATTCATTGCCAACAGTGGCATCAATAGAGTTGATGTAACCCAGTGTAGTAACTCATGGTGTCACCACACCCCATGAACCTCATCCCATACCAGACCACACAAAATCCTTAGTAATGTTTGTTATCAATTTTGTTGTTGTTGTTTGCCGTCGAGTCGACCCCGACTCATAGCGACCCCTCCTTGGGTTTCCGAGGCAGTATCACTACGGAAGTAGGATTGCCCAACCTTCCTTCCGAGGAGTGGCTGGTGGGTTTGAACCGCCAGCCGTCTGGTTAGCAGGCAAGTGTCTTAGCCACTATGCTACCAGAGCTCCCCCTTAATCATAGAATAATATGTAACAAATACAATTGTAAATTGCTTAAATGTAGTATTTCTTAGATTATATGAATACTACCAAAATTGTTTTGTTAAATCTTTCTACAATGAATTATAACATTATTTGTAACTGAGCAGAAGACTTCAATTTTTCTCCTTTTCGTATAATTACTACCTCATTCTCAAACAAGTTATTGACATAGGTACCACAACATTGTAGCTAAAACACAAGAAAATTTGACAAAATCAGCTACTATAAACACCAGCAGGAATCTGGTGGCATAGTGACTAAGGCATTTGGCTGCTAACCAGAAGGTTGGTGGTCCAAACCCACCAGCTACTTCATGGGAGGAAGATGAGGCAAGATACTCCGTAAAGATTACACCCTTGCAAACGCAATGGGGGTCGCTATGAACCAGGATCGACTTGATAGCAGTGGGTTTGTTTGTTTTGCTTTTTGTACTGTGTACAGATGAAACACGTGATTTGAAGCATCATTGTAATTGGGTAATAATGACAGCTCTGATCTGAGCACATTAGAAAGTTCAAAAAGTGAGTTAGCATAGAGTTTTAGCCTCGTAGATATATTTATCAATATTAATTTATTAATAGGAGCGCTAGTGGAATAGTGCCTAAGGCATTTAACTGCTAACCCAAAGGCTGGCGGTTCAAACCAACCAGCCACTCCATGGAAGGAAGACTGGGCAATCTACTTCTGTAAAGATTTATTGCCTCAGAAACCCAAAGGGAGTTTCTATAAGTCTGCAAAAAGGGCAAGGAGGCCACATGTTCTGACCTCCTAGAACCCCACAAGAGGAAGGCAGAATCACCATCAATAGCCCAACGCCTATTACTGCAAGGCCAGACATGCTGCCTCCCTCCAGTTCTTTCACCAACCATTCCTCCCAAAGCACCACCACCTCTCTCCTGGATTCGATAATTCACTGCAGTGGCCACACAGAACTCACAGATTATGGAGTTTATTAGGGAAGCACCAGGCTACAATTCAAGTTCAGGAAAAACGCTCAGTCTCTCTCCCAGCCCACCATCTCTAAGCCAAGTCTCTCACAGTCTCTCCTTTAGCAGTGC